TTATCAAAAGCGAGGGGAAGAGGAAAGCTTTCATTTCATTTTTTTATGGTAAAAAATTCATTTATACCTGTTATTTCAGAAGAAAAAAAAGAAGAAAACCCGGGATCAGTTGAATTTCAAATATTCCATTTTACCAATAAGATACGAAGACTTACTTCGCATTTTGAATTGCACCGAAAAGACTATTTATCTCAAAGGGGTTTACGTAAAATTCTGGGAAAACGGCAACGATTACTGTCTTATTTGTCAAAAAAAAGTAGAATACGTTATAAAAAATTAATAAATCAGTTTGATATTCGGGAGTCACAAATTCGTTAATTTGAAGAGTCATTTTCAATTATTCGATTTATTAGATCTTGAATTTTGATGAATTTTTTTTTTTTTTTAAAGCGATTCATTCTTCTATGAATCGAGGAAAAAAATCTATGAATATCCCAGCTACAAGAAAGGACCTCATGATAGTAAATATGGGACCTCACCACCCATCAATGCATGGTGTTCTTCGACTTATTGTTACTCTGGATGGTGAGGATGTTATTGATTGTGAACCAATATTGGGTTATTTACACAGAGGGATGGAAAAAATTGCAGAAAACCGAACAATTATACAATATCTCCCTTATGTAACACGTTGGGATTATTTAGCTACTATGTTCACAGAAGCAATAACTGTAAACGGACCAGAACAGTTGGGAAATATTCAAGTACCTAAAAGAGCTAGCTATATCCGAGTAATTATGTTAGAGTTGAGTCGTATAGCTTCTCATCTACTGTGGCTGGGACCTTTTATGGCAGATATTGGTGCACAAACCCCTTTCTTCTATATTTTCCGAGAAAGAGAATTAATATATGATCTATTCGAAGCTGCGACAGGTATGAGAATGATGCATAATTTTTTTCGTATCGGAGGGGTAGCGGCTGATTTACCTCATGGTTGGATAGATAAATGTTTTGAATTCTGCGATTATTTTTTAACAAAGGTTGTTGAATATCAAAGACTTATTATGCGAAATCCTATTTTTTTAGAACGGGTTGAGGGAGTAGGCGTTGTTGATGGAGAGGAAGTAATAAATTGGGGTTTATCAGGACCAATGCTTCGGGCTTCCGGAATACAATGGGATCTACGTAAAGTTGATAATTATGAGTGTTATGAGGAATTTGATTGGGAAGTTCAATGGCAAAAAGAAGGAGATTCGTTAGCTCGTTATTTAGTTCGAATTGGTGAAATGACGGAATCTATAAAAATTATTCAACAGGCTTTGGAAGGAATTCCCGGCGGACCATATGAAAATTTAGAAATTCGCTGCTTAGATAAAGAAACAGAGCCAGAATGGAATGATTTTGAATATCGATTTATTAGTAAAAAAGCGTCTCCGACTTTTGAATTGCCGAAACAAGAACTTTATGTAAGAGTTGAGGCTCCTAAGGGAGAATTAGGAATTTTTCTAATAGGTGATCAAAATGGTTTTCCTTGGAGATGGAAAATTCGTCCACCGGGTTTTATCAATTTGCAAATTCTTCCTCAATTAGTTAAAACAATGAAATTGGCCGATATTATGACAATACTAGGTAGCATAGATATCATTATGGGAGAGGTTGATCGTTGAAATGATAATTGATACAACAGAAATACAAGATATCCATTTTTTTTTCAGATTGGAATCTTTTAAAGAGGTATATGGAATTCTATGGGTATTTGCCCCTATTTTTATTCTTGTATTAGGAATCACAATAAGTGTACTAGCAATTGTATGGTTAGAAAGAGAAATATCCGCAGGGATACAACAGCGTATTGGACCTGAATATGCTGGTCCTTTTGGAGTTCTTCAAGCTCTAGCAGACGGAACAAAACTACTTTTCAAGGAGAATCTTATTCCATCTAGAGGAGATATTAATTTATTCAGTATCGGACCATTCATATCAGTCATATCAATTATAATAAGCTATTCAGTAATTCCTTTTAATTATAACTTTGTTTTATCTGACCTCAATATCGGTGTTTTTTTATGGATTGCTATTTCAAGTATTGCTCCCATTGGACTTCTTATGTCAGGATATGGGTCAAATAATAAATATTCCTTTTTGGGTGGTCTACGAGCTGCTGCTCAATCGATTAGTTATGAAATACCATTAACTCTATGTGTGTTATCAATATCTCTACGTGCGATTCGTTGAGACAGAAGCTTTTCGATACTATTGCTATACTCCCCCCTTTCTTTATAGTGCTTTCTAGTAAAGAAGGATAATAAATTGAATATATATCCTTATCATTATTCTTTTTCGAAATTCGGATTGAAGAATTTAATCAGATAGTTATATGAGTGAAATAAAACAGCTTCTATTGAATAGAATTTATTAATTCTATATATATACTATATTACTTATAGTTATATATTACTTATAGTTAATAGATAGTATGAGGAGTTAAAATTGCAGTCAAAATATTGAGTCTCATTTTCCATGTATAAGAATTAAGTGAAAAAAAAAATTCTATTCTATTTCTTCAGTAGAAGAGGTCATTTACCCCCAAGGTTGGTTGATTAGTCATCCTGTCTTGAAGCGGGCACAAAAGAAAAACCAACCTTTTTTTTGAGTTTTCACTATCATTTGTATGAATTATCATACATGTATTAACATAACTAAAGGGGTTTAATAAAAAAATGAATGGATGGGTAGAAACACCAAAATACACAAAGGATTAGTAACGCAAATTTTTTTAAATATCCAAAAGAGCATTTATACATAATAGAAAAAGAATACTAATTGGGGCTTTAAGTTGGTAGAAAAAATCAGGCAGTACTCCCTACAATTCCGATCCAGAGTATGCTCCCATCCACTGATTAAATAAATGACTATCAGGAACGAAATAATCCTTTACTTTTGTTTTCATTAATTCACTTTTTTTTTTGAGTCCCTTTTTAGTTGCACAAAAAAAGGCTAGGAGCGAAAGAAAAAGTGATACCCTTTTTCTTTTTTTTTCTTACATCTATATTCTAGGAAGATGGAATTCATGTCATAATTCAGAAAACGAATGTATAATTCTTTTTTGTAATCGAAAATGATGGAGAAGTTATTGAGAATTCTATAAAGAGTATTTTATTGAAGAATTCAGTTATTACTCAACAAATTCCAATTTTTTTTTAAAGGGATAAGATCAATTCAGAAGTACTTTTTGTATCTTTTATTTATTCAAATAAAATTTGAAATGTATTTTTCTTTATTATTAATTTTTTCATTAAATAAAACAAAACAGACAGAATTCAATTGGTCTAATTCAGAACCGTCCGATAAAATCGAATCTTATCCATTTTATAAATATATCAAGAGATAAATAATCGGTCTGGTCCTTAGATTTATTGAAGGCTTAAAAGGAGCCGTATGAGGTGAAAAATCTCATGTACGGTTCTGTAATAGAGATGGGAACAGTAATGTTATCACCGACTAGGATTATCTAACAGCTTAAGTACAGTTGATATAGTTGAAGCGCAATCCAAATATGGTTTTTGGGGATGGAATTTGTGGCGTCAACCTATGGGTTTCATCGTTTTTCTAATTTCTTCTTTAGCAGAATGTGAAAGATTACCTTTTGATTTACCAGAAGCGGAAGAAGAATTAATAGCGGGTTATCAAACCGAATATTCGGGTATCAAATTTGGCTTATTTTACATTGCTTCCTATTTAAACCTATTAATTTCTTCCTTGTTTGTAACAGTTCTTTACTTTGGTGGTCCGAATATCTCTATTCCGTACATATTTGTTTCTGAATTTTTTGAAATAAATAAAGCATATGGAGTTTTTGTAACAACAATTGGTATCTTTATTACACTAGCTAAAACTTATTTGTTCTTATTCGTTTCTATCACAACAAGATGGACTTTACCTAGGCTAAGAATAGATCAATTATTAAATTTTGGATGGAAGTTTCTTTTACCCATTTCTCTCGGTAATCTATTATTAACAACTTCGTCTCAATTGTTTTCACTATAAAAAACGGACCTTCTATATTCATAACTTGTCTCAAACAAGAGAAAGAAAAAAAACAAAAATAATCAGAGATATTCACGATATGTTCCTTATGATAACTGGATTTATGAATTATGGTCAACAAACAGTCCGAGCTGCAAGGTACATTGGTCAAAGTTTCACGATTACCTTATCTCACGCAAATCGTTTACCTGTAACTATTCAATATCCTTATGAAAAAATAATCACATCGGAACGTTTCCGTGGTCGAATACATTTCGAATTTGATAAATGCATTGCTTGTGAAGTATGTGTTCGTGTATGTCCCATAGATCTACCCGTTGTTGATTGGAAACTGGAAACTGATATTCGAAAGAAACGATTGCTTAATTACAGTATTGATTTCGGAATCTGTATATTTTGTGGTAACTGTATTGAGTATTGTCCAACAAATTGTTTATCAATGACTGAAGAATATGAACTTTCGACTTATGATCGTCACGAATTGAATTATAATCAAATTGCTTTGGGCCGTTTACCAGTGTCAGTAATTGATGATTATACAATTCGAACAATTCAAATAAAATTAAGTTAATTATAATATAATTATAAAATCTTTTTCTAAAAATAAAGATTATATAAATCAAATCATATTCGATATATTTCTATATATAAATATATGTATTTGAATAATATATATGAATAATATAAATTTGGATAATAAGAAAAATGTTATTAAAAAAAAAGAATAAATCTTAGAGGTAGATATTTTTATATTAGATATTCTATTAGTAGAAATATTCGATACATATATTATATATATACTTTAGTTTTCGTATAGTTTCAAACTACTCTTTCATAGAAAGAATGGAATGACATTGATCCTATAACTGTACCTATAGCAATTCACACTTATTATCTTAGGATTTGATTGAATTCAATGCGGAGAGAAATTTAGTATTTAGTATATAATTTTTTCCTGGTCATATCAATAAAGTCATGAAATTTCGATTTATTTATCTCTTATTTTACATATAATGGATTTGCCTGAACCGATACATGATTTTCTTTTAGTCTTTCTGGGATCGGGTCTTATATTAGGAAGTCTAGGAGTAATATTACTTACCAACCCAATTTTTTCTGCTTTTTCGTTGGGACTGGTTCTTGTTTGTATATCTTTAGTCTATATTTTATCAAACTCCCATTTTGTAGCTGCATCGCAGCTACTTATTTACGTGGGCGCTATAAATGTTTTAATCATATTTGCTGTAATGTTCATGAATAGGTCAGAATATTACCAAGATTTTCGTCTTTGGACCATTGGGGATGGAATTACTTTGATGGTTTGTACAAGTATTTTTGTTTCACTAATAACTACTATTCCAGATACATCATGGTACGGGATTATTTGGACTGTGAGACCAAATCAGATTATAGAACAAGATTTTATAAGTACTAGTCAACAAATTGGAATTCATTTATCAACAGATTTTTTTCTTCCATTTGAACTCATTTCCATAATTCTTTTAGCTGCTTTGATAGGTGCAATTGTTGTGGCTCGCCAATAAGAACTTATTCTAACTAATAATCTAAATCTGAATTCTATTTTGTTTAATTTTCTCCCAGTTATTTCCGTTGAATTCTTGTTCATATTGATGAAATGAATCAAAATTGGTAAGGAGTTGGTCAATGATGTTCGAGCATGTACTTATTTTGAGTGCCTATTTATTTTCTATGGGTATCTATGGATTAATCACGAGTCGAAATATGGTTAGAGCCCTTATGTGTCTTGAACTTATACTGAATGCAGTTAATATAAATTTCGTAACCTTTTCTGATTTTTTTGATAGTCGCCAATTAAAAGGAAATATTTTTTCAATTTTTGTTATAGCTGTTGCAGCCGCTGAAGCAGCTATCGGACCTGCTATTGTTTCCTCAATTTATCGTAACAAAAAATCAACCCGTATGAATCAATTGAATTTGTTGAATAAATAGTATTGATTATAATAAATCATAAAAAGTAGAATTTAGAATGAATAGTGTAATATTTATCAATTCAAATTAGCATGTATGATACGCAACTTAGAATCATGTTTGTGAAAATAAATAAAAGAAATCAAAGTATTTTGGTCCTATTCTCTTCTTATGAATTGATCTATAAGTCTATTTTTATTAGCAAAATTCTGATAAATCATTGATTCATCTGGTGTCTAAATATAGAATTCATTTACGAGTTTACTAGATCGAAAATTTTCAATTTTTGATGTTCAAAGATTTCTATAGATTCAATGTCACATTCAGTAAAGATTTATGATACATGTATAGGATGTACTCAATGTGTTCGAGCCTGCCCCACAGATGTATTAGAAATGATACCTTGGGACGGATGTAAAGCTAAGCAAATTGCTTCTGCCCCAAGAACAGAGGACTGTGTTGGTTGTAAGAGGTGTGAATCCGCCTGTCCGACGGATTTCTTAAGTGTTCGAGTTTATTTATGGCATGAGACAACTCGAAGCATGGGTCTAGCTTATTGATACGTTTCAAAAAACACCACACAAATACGTTTTTTTTTACTGACAAAAACCCGCGCTCAAAATAGAAAAAAAATTGCTTTTCTATTTTGAGCGCGGGTTTTTCTGGTCTAAGTATATCTTATTTTTATCACGAATTATTTTCCTTGGTTAACAATAATTGTAGTTTTGCCAATAGCTGGAGGTTCCTTAATTTTCTTATTTCCTCATAAAGGAAATAAGGTGATTAGGTGGTATACTATTTGTATATGCTTAATGGATCTCCTTCTAACAACCTATGCATTTTGTTATCATTTAGAATTGGATGATCCACTAATTCAATTGACAGAGAATTATAAATGGATCCATTTTTTTGACTTTTACTGGAGATTCGGAATAGATGGACTCTCTTTAGGACCCATTTTATTGACAGGATTTATCACCACTTTAGCTACGTTAGCAGCTCAGCCGGTTACTCGAGAATCACCATTTTTTTATTTCCTGATGTTAGCAATGTATAGTGGTCAAATAGGATCATTTTCTTCTCGAGACATTTTACTTTTTTTCATCATGTGGGAATTAGAATTAATTCCCGTTTATCTACTTTTATCTATGTGGGGGGGTAAGAAACGTTTGTATTCAGCTACAAAGTTTATTTTGTACACTGCAGGAAGTTCCATTTTTTTATTAATGGGAATTCTGGCTATGGGTTTATATGGTTCTAATGAACCAACATTAAATTTTGAATCATTAACTAATCAATCGTATCCCATGGCGCTGGAAATAATTTTCTATATGGGATTTTTTATTGCTTTTACTGTCAAATCGCCAATTATACCTTTCCATACATGGTTACCAGACACCCACGGGGAGGCACATTACAGCACTTGTATGCTTTTAGCCGGAATCTTATTAAAAATGGGAGCATATGGATTGGTTCGAATTAATATGGAATTATTATCCCGCGCTCATTCTATATTTTGCCCCTGGTTAATGCTATTAGGTTCAATTCAAATAATCTATGCAGCTTCAACATCTCTTGGTCAACGTAATTTAAAAAAAAGAATAGCTTATTCCTCAGTATCTCATATGGGTTTCTTAATTATAGGAATTAGTTCTATAAGCGATACGGGACTTAATGGCGCTATTTTACAAATAATCTCTCATGGATTTATTGGCGCTGCGCTTTTTTTCTTGGCGGGAACTAGTTATGATAGACTACGTCTTCTTTATCTCGACGAAATGGGCGGAATGGCTATCCCAATGCCAAAAATATTCACCATTTTCACTATTTTATCGATGGCTTCTCTTGCATTGCCGGGCATGAGCGGTTTTGTTGCAGAATTGATAGTTTTTTTTGGAATAATTACCAGCCAAAAATATCTTTTAATTACAAAAATACTAATCACTTTTGTAACAGCAATTGGAATGATATTAACTCCCATTTATTTATTATCTATCTTACGGCAGATGTTCTATGGATACAAGCTTTTTAATACACCAAACTCTTATTTTTTTGATTCTGGGCCACGAGAATTATTTATTTCAATTTCGATCCTTATACCCGTACTATGTATTGGTATTTATCCGGATTTCATTTTCTCATTCTCGGCTAACAAAGTTGAAGCTATTCTATCCAATTTTTTATAGATAGTTTTCGTGAATATGAATAAATGAAAAAAAAAAAAGAAAAAATAGTAAAAAATCTTATGTACAATAAACAAAATATTTTTTTCTTGTATTAACTTACAAAAAAATGAATTTAAGTTGTAATTGAATATGCTTGTTGTTTGTGAGAACCCCTTGAATCACTACTACATTACTTGATTTAAAGGGTTCTCGATGATTTATGGGAAGTTTGCTTCATATATATATATTCTTTCTTATATATAATATAATGAATGGTTTCCATATTTATATTTGTGAAGTTTTTTTTCACTCACTTTAATTCAATTAGATGTAAATGAACCATAACTATGTAGTCCTATTCCTAATAGATTTATTCCTAAATAACATACCCAAATTATAAAAAAGCCCATAGAGGCCACTATTGAAGAATTTAAATTTTCTACTTTTTTCTTTTTTCTAGTATGTAAATAAATTGCGAATATAGTCCAAGTAATAAAAGCCCAAGTTTCCTTTGGATCCCAATTCCAATATGACCCCCATGTCTCATTAGCCCATACTGCTCCTGAAATAATACCTATTGTTAAAAGGATAAAACCTAGACTAATAATACGGTAACCCCAACGATCTAATTGTTGAATAAATTGAGACCTGTAATAATTTCTAGAAGAAGAAAAAGAAGTTTTTTGTAAAACATTATTTCTTTCATTCATATTCATGTATTTGATTTCAGCAAACGAAAATGATTCATTTAAAAAATACAAATTATTGCTTTTACCAATAATTTGTATGAGTTCTCGAAATGAAATGACTAAAATAGCTACTGATAATAATGATCCACATAAAAGAGTTGCATAACCCAATATCATCATACTTACATGCATAATTAACCAATGGGATTGTAGAGCAGGTACTAATAGTACGGATTTTTGCATTTCGGTTAAAAGACCTGAAGTAGCAAAGCCTTGGGTAAAAATAACACTTGGTGCGATTATTGTATTTAAATAGTTGTTTTTATGCTTTTTGAAGCATGGAACCATATAAAAAATGGAAAAATTCCATGAAAGAAAGATTAATGATTCATATAAATCACTAAATGGTAAATGGCCCGAAAAAACCCAACGAGTAACTAACAATCCTGTTATACAGAAAAAAGTTATTATCATGCCTTTTTTGGACGAATCATATAATCCTAGGATTTCATTGACCGATAAAGTTATCAAATGAATTGAAATTACAATTGATACAACCGAAAACGATATATGAATTAATATATGCTCTAAAGTTGAAAATATCATATAGAATAAATAAAAATCAGAATACTAGGAATAGAAATAGGAATTGAGTTCATTATAGGACTTATTCTTTTGGAGGATAAGATATCATGCCGCTACTCGGACTTGAACCGAGATGCTCTAGCACTGCTTCCTAAGAGCAGCGTGTCTACCAATTTCACCATAGCGGCTTACTCGAAATCATAATAACCAATTTTTAGTCAATTGTCAAGATTCAAATAAAGAATCAATTAAAGTGTAATATTTGTTTACTAAACATTAACGAATTAAAAGAAGTCTATTAGAGAATCTATTAGAATTTTCGAAATTCTATATCTATATATATATTATTATTCTATATTCTTATTCTAAATATATTACATTTTTTCTTATTCTAAATATATTACATTTTAGAAAATTTTAGAAAGGAATAGAAAAATAAAATTAAGAATATAGAATAAATAAAAAAATGGTGAAATTTTTCATCAAAAATGGAACACTACATTCAAAGTATTTTTTTATTTAGAATATCGTTATACATATCCTAAATTTGTAGAATACTAATTTAGATATGAAAAACGAATTTAGATATTCCAATTATATTAGTATTTTAATATTCAAAAATGTTATTTGAATAAAGTTAATTCAGATTATTCTGACGTTTGTATTTGTTACAAAAAAAACTTTTTGAATTCCCCGTAAAAATAGATTGTGCTAATGAAAAAGCTTTTAATGTTGTCCAATATCCCCTCTTTTTCCAAAAATTTTTTCGAATGATTTTTTTTGATATAGAAGTGCGCTTTTTTGGAACTGCCATCGAGTTAGTATAGTTTTTCATTGTTATAGTTCGATGTGAAAGACATTTTTTTCTGTAAATGAAAAGGAATTCTTCTTTAATTACCCATATATCTTATGTATCTTAATGCTCCCTTTTTGCTTCCTATCTCTAAAGTAAAACATTGAATATTATAACTCTTTTTCCAGACATGAATATCTTTTTATTGTAATGGAAAATACTCAATTAGTTCAAAAATGAACTAATGCTTAAAAAAAAAAGAATTATTGAGTAATGTCGTAGGAATTGTAATTTTTTAATGAATATCAAAATAAACGAATCTTCGTAGTTTTAGTGTAATTCATTATTTATCCTCACTCTATACTTTTGTATAATTGTAAAAAAAAAAATAGAAATTCACATTTTTATTTTTACATATTTCCTTTTTATTATTTTATTAAAATTACATTCATTATTTATTATAGTAATAGTAATAAATATGAGAAAAAAAAAAGAAACTCTTTTTTTTTTTTTTACTAGGAATAGGAATTTGGTTATTGGTCCATTTTCAGTTTGTACTTAGTAATATTCGAATGGAACAAAGATTCAGAACAATTAATGTAATTCTATTTCTAGATTCACTTCTTTTATTAACCGACCCTTTTCTTTACAAAAGAGATGAAACAAAACTGACGAATAAGAAACAAAATTCATTAAGAATCCAATCCATTTGTTTTGTTTTTGTATGGAATATACACATCAATCTTCATGGATCATACCTTTCATTCCATTTCCAGTTCCTATGTTAATAGGAGTGGG